GAGGTCACTGGATTTTAGTGGTACTTTTCCTGATTCTGTATTTACCACAAACTTTATTGGTATTTTTTGGTGTGTCTGTAAAATCTTTAGGGATTGTTTTAGAATTAACTAATACTTTTTTATTTTTATTTCAACAGATTGTCAAAATGGAAGAAAAATCCCTCCTCGTTATAGACCCCCTCGGTAATGAAAATGTGTACCAGAGAAAAATTCTTCGGAATTGGAGGTGATGTAAAACCAGCTCTTCCTACTGCGTTTGTAGACTTGCATATTTGAAAATGTGGTAACACTTTACAATAAGGTTCATTAGTTAACCATAGTTAACTACATTAGTTAACATGTACAATATGTGAACAATACTTCTTCAGCATTTATTAATCTTAGTTAATATCAATTCCAACATTTACTAATACGTTATTAAAATCAAAGGTTGTATTAGTTAACATTAGTTAATGGACTGTGAACTAACATGAACGCACAATGAACAGCTGTATTTGCATTAACTAACATTAACAAAGATTAATAAACACTGTAACTAATGCATTGCTCATCATTAGTTCATGTTAGTTAATGCATTTACTAATGTTAACTAATGAACCTTATTGTAAAGTGTTACCGGAAATGTTTCTGAACAAATGACTTGTACAATAACAGAAATTTTTTGAAGACAAGAAATGTCAGTGAAGGCCCATGGACGATCCAAATTGCAAGACACAATCTGCAGCAGGACGGTTCTAGTTGTGGTGTCTTAATTTTGATGGTATGGATATTATTGATAAATATAATTGGGATGAAGGTGTGTTACTTTACACCTACACTGACTCTTTGTAGTTTGCAGAGCTCATTCTCCAAGGTAGAAGTATCAACGTTGCTCAAACAGACACAGAGGAGGTCTTAGCCACAAGAGTCAAAATTGCAGCCACTCTTCTGGAATGCAAAGGTATCCATTAATTATCCATATCTGACTTGTCCTTTGACAAGATACTATATTCAGGATAAATTGTGCTAAAGTCTTGCAGCAAATGTCTTTAAATTAACATTGCTTGCGTTGCACTATTTTTGTTTTTCATTTAAGATGGTGTGGAAGATCTCTGTGTTTCCTGCAACATGTTACACTTTGATGCTGAGGAGGATTTCACAGAGATGGTAATAAGACAGTAGGTTATATACTGACGAACTTGCAACTTTCACTATCCATTCATTTAGTTTTTTGTCTTATCTGATGTAAATGGGTTGGTTGAAGCTGGTGGATGATGGCGTCTTCAACGCCAACTCCACTATGATAAGCAAACTGCAGGGAGTCCTGATATGTTGCTTGGGCCCCGTCCACACTTCTGCATTTTCGTTTAAAAACGGAGAATTAAAACGAATACGATCTCCGTCCACACCAGCGTTTTATCTGCTGATTAGAATTTATCTCCGTCCACATTAAAACAACTGAAAACGCGAATCACATGACTATTCACCACCGCTGTAAACAGTGGCTGACGAATCAGGGAAGGACACATGATGACTGACACCCGTATATGACAGCCGTATATCCGTATATTTTGTGAAACGATGATGTCATGTCATGAGCTGAGCTGGTTGTCATTGACAGCGACAACAACTTCCGTGAGCCCACGCTCTTTCCTGACGTCATCAAAGTACGTCTTTTGTTATTATTTTAAACGAGTGACCCCTGGTGGCCAAAAATCGCATACTGTACGTTTAACTGGTTAATGTACGTTTTCTTCGGGAGTATATGGTTTTGGAAATTTTTGAGAAATTCTAAATTAACACATTACAATTTACCTAAACCCATTATATTTTAGTCGACTAAATCTACTATACGTTTAGTTTACAGTAGATTAATGAAATCAAAAAAGAAAAAAAAACTAAAATTGCTATAATCTTATTGTATTTCGTCAACTAAAACAATTCAGATGACTAAATATGACAAATTAGTTTTAAAACTAAATCAAAATTTTCAAAATTAACACTGATGTATGCAACTTCTCCATATTGTATTTTTCCTCTAAAGTTTCATTTGGAAACCACGATTATGTTTTTCGATGTTTATTGTTCAGGGGTCTCTAAGTTCCCCATATTCCCAGCATAAGTAGCTAGCTGATGTTAAAACACAACATTGTTCGGCAAACTTTCTTGTCGCCTACTGAAATGTTTTTATTTTTCACACCTGCTTGGCTTATCTTTAACTCATTCCACATTTGAAAAATAAATGAACACAAGTTGAGGGATTCTTCTGGCACTGTCCACTCTTTGTAGTATTCAGTAATCGGCAATTTGACATTCCTAACTGCTTTCACTAAAGCAGGCAAAACAGGCATCCTTGAAAAAGTAATATTACAATAGTCTTAACTGGTTATTTAACTGCTAGTGCAGCTGAAAAGTCCCTAATGATTCTTCAATGCTTCTGAAGTTTTTTTATTTTTTTTTATTTTGTCTTTAAAGGTGCAGTGTGACATATGCTCAAGATGGACGCACAAGCAGTGTACCCCTGCAACCCTTGCCTCTGAGCATTTTAAGTGTAAAAAGTGTGTGTTAAATGAATAATGTTTGCCTCAAACTGTTGCAAAGTTCTATGTTGTACGTATTGTTCAATGTGTACCAAATTTGTATTAAAATAATTTTCAACCTGTCTATAAACAATGAATGTTTTTATAATGTGTTTTCTTTTAGTAAGATACACAGAAATAGGTTATGAAGGGGTATGCTGGTAAGTGTGAAAACTAACAAAAAAAAGGATACCCCAACACTTGCTTGGGTACTGTATCTTTATTAAACCAGGGCCCATCAAGACGGCATACCCCTTTATAAACTGTATTTTTATTAAACCAGGGCGCATCAAGACGGCATACCCCTTTATAAACTGTATTTTTTTATTAAACCAGGGCCTATCAAAACAGCATACCCCTTTATAAACTGTATTTTTTTATTAAACCAGGGCCTATCAAAACAGCATACCCCTTTATAAACTGTATTTTTTTATTAAACCAGGGCCTATCAAAACAGCATACCCCTTTATAAACTGTATTTTTTTATTAAACCAGGGCCTATCAAGACGGCATACCCCTTTATAAACTGTATTTTTATTAAACCAGGGCGCATCAAGACGGCATACCCCTTTATAAACTGTATTTTTATTAAACCAGGGCGCATCAAGACGGCATACCCCTTTATAAACTGTATTTTTTTATTAAACCAGGGCCTATCAAGACGGCATACCCATTTATAAACTGTATTTTTATTAAACCAGGGCGCATCAAGACGGCATACCCCTTTATAAACTGTATTTTTATTAAACCAGGGCGCATCAAGACGGCATACCCCTTTATAAACTGTATTTTTTTATTAAACCAGGGCGCATCAAAACAGCATACCCCTTTATAAACTGTATTTTTTTATTAAACCAGGGCCTATCAAAACAGCATACCCCTTTATAAACTGTATTTTTATTAAACCAGGGCCTATCAAAACAGCATACCCCTTTATAAACTGTATTTTTATTAAACCAGGGCGCATCAAGACGGCATACCCCTTTATAAACTGTATTTTTTTATTAAACCAGGGCCTATCAAAACAGCATACCCCTTTATAAACTGTATTTTTTTATTAAACCAGGGCCTATCAAAACAGCATACCCCTTTATAAACTGTATTTTTTTTTATCAAACCAGGGCCTATCAAAACAGCATACCCCTTTATAAACTGTATTTTTTATTAAACCAGGGCCTATCAAAACAACATACCCCTTTATAAACTGTATTTTTTATTAAACCAGGGCCTATCAAAACAGCATACCCCTTTATAAACTGTATTTTTATTAAACCAGGCCCCATCAAGACGGCATACCCCTTTATAAACTGTATTTTTATTAAAACAGGGCCAATCGAAACAGCATACCCATTTATAAACTCTATTTTTATTAAACCAGGGCCTATCGAAACAGCATGCCCCTTTATAAACTGTATTTTTATTAAACCAGGGCCTATCGAAACAGCATGCCCCTTTATAAACTGTATTTTTATTAAACCAGGGCCTATCAAAACAGCATACCCCTTTATAAACTATGTTTCTTAAACCAGGGCCTATCGAAACAGCATACCCTTCACAAACAAACACTGGTATGCTGTTTTGACAATTTAGGCTAAATTGACAGACACCGCTATAAAACTCAACTTCCGGTATGCTATTCTGACAAAGTATGCTACATTGACAGAACATCGGGTCATAGGAGGGAGGAGCGAGGAGGGATATTGAGAAGCACCCTCGTTCATTCAACAGTTGACAGTCATTCAAGTTATAGCGATCCAAACTAGGTAACGATGTGGGAACACAACCTCAACGAAATTCAAAAGGGTGAAATAACAGTACCTTTACCCTCTGCAGTTACTTGGTTGGGAGTATTATAATAACATTATTAATAATCAATACTCATCAAGGCATGGTGACACAGTTGTGCGAGCTGACAAACAATTAAAATAAAAAATACACACTTAGTCATTGTGCTTTGGAGTTTATTCAAAATTATAAATGAATGTGCTGCTTGAATACATTAACTGGCACATTTGGTATTCTGTCAACACAGGCTTTGATCCTGAGTTTAGCTGTAACATCAGTAGAGAACAGCCAACCACATGCTGATAGAGTTTATAGAATATTAAGATTTTAAACAAATGTACACAGGAAGATTTGTCGTCTTTTGGGAGGTGATGGAAACTACAGTCGTTGGTAGGATCACTGTGATTTCGTTTTCAGCTTATGTTCAAAACAATCCCGTTTAAACCACTAAATTAGTTTAGTCCGGTTATACAACCGCGAACAGCACATGTTGTCCCTGAGCTCCGTAACGACATCTCTCATAAAGATTGGCGTCTTTAAATTGTAAAATAATTCTCCGAAAAACAGCTAGCCTCTTCGCTAACTAACACACAAAATACCATTGGAATGCTACTTCCGCCGCGTCACCGGAAGTTTCACCCACTTTATTTTATACAGGAGCGCCCCTCGCAAACTTGTGGATAGGAGATTGATTAAACTAACTCCTCACAGGTGTTTTGGAACCGACATACCCAGAGTAAGCTAGTTTGGGGGTTAATCAACCAAGAGTTCAAGGCTTATCTGACGGTAAGTTAACCTTGCTTTCTGGAATACACCCCTGGAGACGTATTTTCAAAACTGTCTGACTTAAGTTGTTGTGGGCGTGTCTTCATTCCTGTCCAAGATCCAGAGATCAAAACTGAACAAAGCACTGCTGTGACAAGGATCATTGTGAAACAGACTTTATCAGCATTCTGTGCGTGATGGATGAAAAAGACGAAGATATAGGTGGGTAGATGTGCATATTACAGCTAACTATATTTTTTGCTGTTGTGTTTTTCCTGAAGTTTTACTTGAATATTTACTGTATGTTCACTGTCTCGGAATAGCTTACAAGAAAATAAACAATTCAAATCTGTATCATGTTGGCAAAACGGTATTTTTAAAAAAAAAATATATATATATTAATGAAGGAAAATAGACCTATAGACCATTTCACAAGATGTAAACAACACTGGTCCAGAAACACAACTGTTTCAGTTTGTAACTGTTTTCTTTATTTCACATGTAAAGAAAACATCTTAAAGATGTTTGTTTAACTTTTTGATTCAGTTTTAAATGTTCTGTTGGTTGTATTTTATCCCAGCTTTTATGTAGTGTTAAAAAACTGAAACTGGAAGTGCTTCTGGACCAGTGTTGTTTACATCTTGTGAAATGGTCTATAGGATACATTCCATTGATACGACATAAACAGTGAAATGCCATGACGTGTGCATGTATTATGATGACACTACATTTGCTCAATAATATGGAAATGTTGTGTTTTCCTTTTGCACAACGTCAAATTAAACAGTTTAAAAAAAAAAAAACATTCATTCTGTATAAAGTTTGAACAAAACTTTTTCCAACACTTTAAACATTATAATAACTCGCTAATAGTCAAGGATCATGTTAGAAAGCATGTGCTCACACTGATCTGAACTGCCTCAAACATTAATCGATTCAAAAAGTGAAACTTCTCCGTGTCTTTTAGTGTATAAACATCAGTGCTCTAACTGCTATTTAATTCAATACACATTGTTTATATCACCAGATAACAGTTTGAGTTTAAAGTTTAACGAATGTCAGTTTTTATTTTGCTTTGGTAGTGCAGTTCATTCCATGCTATCTAACTTGAGAATGATCCAAAGAGCCTCCTTACTTCAGCAAAAGGAAGGAAATATGACCTTTTGCTTTGAGTTCACATGTTGAATGACACCAATTTGTTTATTTGACTTTTGTGACCAAATAATGCATGAATCATTTAAAAAAAAAAAAAATTATTATAAAGCAACATTCTATTCCTCCGGTTTTAAATGACATTTAAATGTGATTCAATGAGAAATTTCCCTTTCTACTGTAATGAGATGAAGCATAAACCTCTAGTTTGAAAGAAAAGACTTACACCTAGTCTCAGACTATGATGCATAGTGTTTGAGCTGTTTTAACTGAAAGCAGCTTGAACTGACAGATCTTAAAATATGTGTCTTTGTTTTAGAAATGTTTTTATTAGATGCGTTTATAAAATCTACTAAATGTCCCAAGTGAATTAATATCACCTAGCCAAATCCTGGCCAAATCCAAATTCATTTTTTTTTTTTTTTTTTTTGGAGAAGAATTCTGTGAAAATTCCCTCAGAAAAGAGTTTTTAGAGAGAATTCTGATGGAACTATGCAGTCAGTCAATTGGAAGGAGTGTTAAGAAACATCTGTTAACATAGATATTTGACATTTTGAGGATTGACACTGTTGTGAAAACAAAGTACACTTAAAGGTGCCATATGGAATAATTGAGGTAAAAATATCCAAAAAATGAGCTACACACATCAAAAGAATGAGAAGAAATAAGTGCAATGATGTCATTAAAAAACTAGCAAGTTATAGTGCTGCCGAGATATAACCTAAATTAGCATGCTAAATTATTAGCCCCGGCCCGGCAGGTGTCGTAATACCAGTTTCGGCCATGGGAGGCGGTATGCGGGCGGGCAACGTTACCACCAGCCAAACTGCAGTAACACGAGTAAGTCGCGCCGGCTTGTGTGTACTTGAACCTGATGTCATGTCGTGATGTCGTGTCGAAATACAGCCCACTACTAAATTTCAGTTCAGGGATGAGTTAAATAAATGATTGGTCGATATTATGCATGAGGAATAACATATTGTAACATATCTTTCAACAGTGTTCGTGTTCTTTTACCATTAGCTAGTAGAGATGATCGGTTCACGTGCGCTAGGGATCTGTCGTCTAACATTTACAAGCGCCAAAACTGCATTTATTGTTTGAATTGCGTAATAAAATTAACAGAATCTGAGAGCTGAGATCGGTCTCTGTGTCCTTTTCTGTGCATGACAAAATGGATGTGGCGTGAGAGTGTGTGTAAAGTTGTGTGTCTCACGGTGAATTTGTGAGAGTTGGCAGCTCTGAAAGGCGCTAGCTTGGTCCACATCAGGGAATGCTGTCTGTCAAATTAATTCAAACTAATGATAAAAAATGTAACATGAACAAAATGAATACCATAAACTAAAAATGCCTGGGCTTTAATTTTCCCATATCGTCGAAATGCACCGGCTTGTCTATGAGACGGTCTTTATAATTTAGTATTGAGATGTTGTTCATTTAGTCTCTAATCTCTAAAAAAATCTCCAAATGATCCACGTGAAACTGCGGTCTTCCAACCTTTTACTATTAGTTTTACTGATTAATATGCGTGAGGGAGACCCGCTCGCCTGTGTTGTTTGAAGACATTTGTTTGCATGGAGGTATTTTTCTGGAGGTATACTGCCCCCATCTGGTATGGAATATGGTGTATGATTTGATTTTTTATCCCAGAGGGCACCTTTAAGCATACTTCTGAAAAGAGTTATAATATACTTAAGTGCAAATTGAATTGAATGTTTTCGGACACTATATATATATATATATATATATATATATATATATATATATATATGTGTGTGTGTGTGTGTGTGTGTGAAACGTATCAAAATTATAAACGTAAGCCTTTTTTGCCCCCATTTGTCATAAGCTGAACTCAAAGATCTTAGATTTTTTTCAATGTACACAAAAGGCCTATTCCTCTCAAATATTCACAAATTAGTTACTAGGAGTTAGTGATGGGGGCGAGACCGCTTATGCCGAGTCCGAGTCAAGACCGAGTCTTTGAAGGGTCAAGTCCGAGTCGAGACCGAGTCCGTTGGTTTTCAAATACAGTCGAGTCCGAATCTTTGAAGGGTAAAGTCCGAGTCGAGACCGAGTCTGTGGGTTTTCAAATACAGTCGAGTCCGAGTTTTTGAAGGGTCGAGTCCGAGTCAAGACCGAGTCTTTGAAGGGTCGAGTGCGAGTCGAGACCGAGTCCGTTGGTTTTCGAATACAGTCGAGTCCGAGTCTTTGAAGGGTTGAGTCCGAGTCAAGACTGAGTCCGTTGGTTTCCAAATACAGTCGAGTCCGGGTCGAGACCGAGTCTGTTGGTTTTTGAATACAGTCGAGTCCGAGTCAAGACCGAGTCTTTGAAGGGTCGAGTCCAAGTTGAGACCGAGTCTGTTGGTTTTCGAATATAGTCGAGTCCGAGTCGAGACCGAGTCTGTTGGTTTTTGAATACAGTCGAGTCTAAGTCAAGACGGAGTCTTTGAAGGGTCGAGTCCGAGTTGAGACAGAGTCTTTGAGGAAGCAAGTCCGAGACGGGATTTTGTCCCGACATATCAGTTTTGATATACGTTTGTGGTTCTGAAAGGCGAATTTGATGATGGCAGACTCATTGCTCATCTTGCCGCCGCTCACACCAGGCAGCAACTGAAGACACTGATTGCCCTGATGGCAGTATCTTTGCATTGCACAATGAGATGTCATTTTCAAATAATCCCCATCAATCCGTGTCTTTTTTTTAGATGAACATTAAAATTATGCGCTGGAAAAAAAATCTTGAGGACTCGGTCTGAATATTACGAGTCCTTTTCTTCCCACTGTGGTCCGAGAACGAGTCAAGACCGAGTCAAGACCCAGTCTTTGAAGGAACAAGTTCAAGACGAGTCAGAGAAAGCAGAAATCACTCTTGAGACCGGTCTCGAGCCCGAGACCAGACTCGAGTAGTGCATCACTACTAAGAGTGCTACTTGGGTGTTGAGAAATGTGTTCCTTTGGTGCTCTTCAGTTTGGAGATCCAAAATGTTTCTCAAATAAACAGGAAGTCTGAATCCATTCCATTAAAAAACATATACCAACATGTTTTGGCCTATTTGGCCTTCCTCAGGGCAAATTCAAAATGGCGGTCAACAGATTTTTCACAAATCTGTCTAAATCTGTGTTAGTGAGCACTTCTCCTTTGCTGAAATATTCCATCCACCTCACAGGTTTGGCATATCAAGATTCTGATTAGACGGCATGATTATTGCACAGGTGTGCCTTAGGCTGGCTACAACAAAAGGCCACTCTAAAATGAAAAAAGAAAAAAAGGTTGTTGATTGTGGCCTGTGTTTGTGACGCAGCTGCTGTCGGACCCAATACAGTTGGCTGCTTCATTAATCAACAAAAGTTTCTTTGCAAACTCTTCAATACACAGTGCCTCATTTTCAAAATAAAATGCTCCGAACAAACATACTTTAGTCCTCCGAAACAATCCGGGACGCCATTAAAATAAACCATCCACTTGTTTCCGACACTGAGATCCTTCTGAATTCTGTACAGACACACAAACCAGCTGTTTAAACTGGAAGAGCCAAAGCGAACGTTCTTTCACACTTCCATTTGTCCTGTTGTGTGTGAAGGATGTCAGAAACAGAAGACACATCTGTATACTGTATCCAGTGTAGACAGAATCTCTGATTATAATGGTTTTATTTGCTTTGATGCGACGCTAACATCCAGTGTAGGTAAATGTTAGCGCCTGTGGGCGGGGCTTATGGTGCGATGATTTATAACTTTTCGTCGATGTCTTGCTCTGGAGGTAGTCGTATGCAAATGTATTTGCCCATATGACATCACAGAGACCTCATCATCAAAACAAGCCATTTTTGAAGCTTTGTTAAAAAAAGCTTTGTTTATATTCTGGACTTTTTAACGTTTTACAAATTCCACTTCTCATGTCATCACCCCTTTACATCTTTATATGTAATTTCATAATTACTTATGTTGTCTTTGAAATATAGTTTAAGTGTATCGCCGAATGCATTGATAAATATATAATAGTAAAACACTCTTGTTTACTGAAGTGTGCATAATACTGCCTCTGTTATCTAGACATGAACTTTTTTTGAACTTCACTTATGACACCAAACACTAAAATGCTTTCATGTATCGCAAGCGCAAAAATGCAGTCTGAGGACAAATTAACAGTCTGAAACTGTTAACTGCAAACGTTATCTTACAAATAAACATATCCTGTTTGCTAAATAGATCTCTGCTTCACAAAGCAGCCGCACATGTCTGTCAGTAGAAGCACAATTAATCACATTCCAGCTTCTTAAAAGCAACACGACCAACTGAATTCAGACTGAAGCAATTGTTTACGTCTATTATTTCTGTTATCAGTGCATTTTTATTTTTGCATTGATATTATTAGGAACCAGACTGTTAGAAAGGCTTCTCTGGGGTTTAAGGTTATTTTCCCTTTCGCAAGTACACATCAAGTGCGAGTACTACCTATCAAGAGCGAGTACACATCAAGTGTGCCAATGGAGCTGTGAACTTCCAAAGCATTCTCATCCCAGGGTGTCGTATATGACGCTTTTGACAATGCGTATATATCTAACGCACATGGCACCCTTTAGGGTCAATATGACACACACAGAGTATGGGTAGGTTTAGGTCTGGGGTAGGGTTTGGGTTAGACCACTAGGAGGCGCCTTCTAGCCCATATATGTGCGTTGGATGTATACACATTGTCAAAAGCGTCACATATGACGGCTTGGCATGAGAACGGGCTCGAACTTTTGTAAATCGATTTATGACTTATGATTTTGAAAATCCAGATAAAAATCTGATTATATCTGATAATCGCTCATTGGCACAGTTGTAAACAGCTTTTTTCCATGAGGGGGTTTGGCATCACGTCAGCTTTGTTTACAGTCGGACCGTTAAAGAAACACACACACACACACACACACACACACACACACACACACACACGCACAATTTAATTTGTATCTCGAGTGAACAGAGTAACTTTGGCTGCCCTAAAAAACAAATATATTAAGCTTTTTTTTTCTTTTACATTTTGAAGAAACTAAGCACCTAAGAATATCCCTGCCATATCAAATATCATTAATCATATTTTAATGAATGTGTTTTGCTAAATTAGCATTTAAATTGTATCACAGACCACCTGCTCCACCCATCATTCACTGCTATATTTTGAGGGCATTGTTTCTCTGGCATACAGGCCCATTTCGTGGCCATTCTTCATGCTAAATCTGAAGCACAATCTCTGTTGAAGGAAACCCACTCCAGCTGATATTTATATCCACTTTTTAGCGGCATTGTTCACCAACAGAACAAGTTATTTATGTGAAGTATATGTAACTCAATTCACTGATGCACTGCTGAGGGAAAGAACCCTAATGACTTCATGAACAGCTGCCAACTACTGATTGCTAAGAAATGTGTTTATGTTCTGTTGCCTAGCAACGCAACACAAATTATTAAACCACACTGATGATGCTCCAGGATCAACAAGAAAGTTGTTCAAGGGACTTCATGGAAAATGGTGTCGCTGCTTTAAGGCGGGGGGCTGTTTGATAGGAATGTTGTTCCAGGGCCAACGAGGGATGTTGATACAGGAACATGTTGCTGTTTGATAAATGAGAAATATCAGGAAGTCTCTCTGTCTTCTGCAGACACGTTTGACCCCAGTCTTCCTGAGGAGGGTCCGTCGGCTCCGCCCCCAGGCTGGCTGGACAGTGTCTCGGGATACGAAGAGCATAACGGTGGAGGTGAACGTGTTTCATGTGTATCACTTGTGCTGTGAATTACAGACAGACTGATAACAACCGTCCATTAACATCCTAAAACAGAATTTGTTGAAAATAAATTATATAATGCCATTAACAATAATAACAACATTTATTATTATTATTATTATTATTATTATTATTTGATACTATTTTATAGTAATACAGTGTTTACACTAAGGCACATTAACAATAATAATAATAATAACCATAATTGTATTTTAATATAATAACATTTTTATTATTATTTATACTATTATTATTATTCACTAAAATATGCTCTAAGCAACTGGAAAAGACATTATTAAAATGTAGTATAATAACATTTTATTATAGTTATTATCATACAGTAATACAATATGGAAGTATAATAATATAAATAATAACAATACATTAATTTTATTATTAAGACATAATTATTATAATATTATATTATTATTATATATTTTTATTACTCATATTATTAAGATACTATTATAATAATGCACCATTATATACCCTATGGGATAATAATAATAATTATTATGATTATTTTTATAAAAATATTACTATCAAGACTCTTTTATTATAATAATACACTATTAAATACACTAAGGCACCATACTATACATTTTATTATTATTAATATGATAATATACATTATAATAAACTATTACATTAAAGCATATTAACAATAATATTTTATTATTATTATTAATGATAATAATGATACAAATTATATTATGCTAATACACTATTAGACATGATTAATATCTAATAACTATACAAATAATATTAAAATATTATGATTTTTTTTAATTATTGTTGACTAAAAAAATAAATAAATATTGCTTTTACATATTGGATGCTTTAAAACATGTATTGGTATTGGTCATAAAAACATAATATTGGTCGATCTTGAACATATAATAACAAAACCTGCATGTCAAATATATATATGACCTAATATCATAGTTATGTCTTGAATGCTTAAGTGATATTCAACTTTTATTTTTGTTTGTGTGCTTGATCGTATACTGTACAGATCAGATCTGTCCTCCTCCACCAGACTTTGCCCCTAAGCCTGAAAATGACAGGAATGCCTCAGTCCCAAATGTCATGTAGGTACAATGTGTATTTTCTGTGTGCAATGTCATTTTTTGTAGGATGTTATGAATACAAAAACATTCAAAATTTGCCATAACGTTTTTGTTTTGCATTTACATCTGTGTATGTATTTGCACACTGACAGGGTTCCCACTGTCTCAGAGGATGTAGCGAGAGACGCTCTACTCCAGTTTGTGGGTAAAAAATGGACATACAGCAGCAAACCTGCCAAAAATCTGATATTCAAAGAACTGAAGCCATTTACAGTTTACCGTGTAAATCTCTTTATTATCCAATCTTATCCAGTCTAAATGTGGAATGATTCCTATATTATTATTACATATCATAATAGTTATATGATTGTGCCATTTGTCCCTTGTCTTTTCAGTACCGCTTGGAAACATTTACCGAGTCCAGATCAAGTGCTTGGGGATCGGAGCCGCACACAGGTGCCTGATGAAACCAATACAATTAAACAAATGATAAAAATGCCTGTATCAAATTGATATCTTTTTCTCAGGTCAGTGTGTGGATGGGCCTCAGAATGGAGTGAGTCCTCCACCGTGGCTCATCCAGGTGTCTTACCCACCCAAATTCACTGACGCCGTTCAGAAAGTCAGGGTCCCACATTCTTCATTCATAAAGGTATGCCTATGTTTTTTTTTTTGTTTTTTGTTTTTTTTTCAAGATATTACCTTTCATGCAGTGTGTAATATACTGTAGCTGTTTATTAACTCTTTCCCCACAGGGTTTTTTTTTTTTTTAAACAGACTGGGCCAATCAGAGCAGAGTAGACCAATCACAACAGGCTAAGCCATCTGACCAATCAGAGCAGAGTAAACCAATCACAACAGACTGGGCCATCTGACCAATCAGAGCAGAGTAGACCAATCACAACAGACTGAGCCATCTGACCAATCAGAGCAGAGTAGACCAATCACAACAGACTGGGCCATCTGACCAATCAGAGCAGAGTAGACCAATCACAACAGACTGGGTCATCTGACCAATCAGAGCAGAGTAGACCGATCACAACAGACTAGGCCATCTGACCAATCAGAGCAGAGTAGACCGATCACAACAGACTGGGCCATCTGACCAATCAGAGCAGAGTAGACCAATCACAACAGACTGGGTCATCTGACCAATCAGAGCAGAGTAGACCAATCACAACAGACTAGGCCATCTGACCAATCAGAGCAGAGTAGACCAATCACAACAGACTGGGTCATCTGACCAATCAGAGCAGAGTAGACCAATCACAACAGACTGGGTCATCTGACCAATCAGAGCAGAGTAGACCAATCACAACAGACTGGGCCATCTGACCAATCAGAGCAGAGTAGACCAATCACAACAGACTGGGTCATCTGACCAATCAGAGCAGAGTAGACCAATCAGTGCAGAGTAGGCCAATCACAACAGACTGGGTCATCTGACCAATCAGAGCAGAGTAGACCAATCACAACAGACTGGGTCATCTGACCAATCAGAGCAGAGTAGACCAATCACAACAGGCTAAGCCATCTGACCAATCAGAGCAGAGTAAACCAATCACAACAGACTGGGCCATCTGACCAATCAGAGCAGAGTAGACCAATCACAACAGACTGGGTCATCTGACCAATCAGAGCAGAGTAGACCAATCACAACAGACTAGGCCATCTGACCAATCAGAGCAGAGTAGACCGATCACAACAGACTAGGCCATCTGACCAATCAGAGCAGAGTAGACCAATCACAACAGACTGGGTCATCTGACCAATCAGAGCAGAGTAGACCAATCACAACAGACTAGGCCATCTGACCAATCAGAGAAGAGTAGACCAATCACAACAGACTGGGTCATCTGACCAATCAGAGCAGAGTAGACCAATCACAACAGACTGGGTCATCTGACCAATCAGAGCAGAGTAGACCAATCACAACAGACTGGGCCATCTGACCAATCAGAGCAGAGTAGACCAATCACAACAGACTGGGCCATCTGACCAATCAGAGCAGAGTAGACCAATCAGTGCAGAGTAGGCCAATCACAACAGACTGGGTCATCTGACCAATCAGAGCAGAGTAGACCAATTACAACAGACTGGGTCATCTGACCAATCAGAGCAGAGTAGACCAATCACAACAGACTAAGCCATCTGACCAATCAGAGCAGAGTAGACCAATCACAACAGACTGGGTCATCTGACCAATCAGAGCAGAGTAGACCAATCACAACAGACTGGGCCATCCGACCAATCAGAGCAGAGTAGACCAATCACAACAGACTGGGTCATCTGACCAATCAGAGCAGAGTAGACCAATCACAACAGACTGGGTCGGTCATCTGACCAATCAGAGCAGAGTAGACCAATCACAACAGACTAGGCCATCTGACCAATCAGAGCAGAGTAGGCCAATCACAACAGACTGGGTCATCTGACCAATCAGAGCAGAGTAGACCAATCACAACAGACTGGGTCATCTGACCAATCAGAGCAGAGTAGGCCAATCACAACAGACTTGGTCATCTGACCAATCAGAGCAGAGTAGACCAATCACAACAGACTGGGTCATCTGACCAATCAGAGCAGAGTAGACCAATCACAACAGACTGGGTCATCTGACCAATCAGAGCAGAGTAGACCAATCACAACAGACTGGGTCATCTGACCAATCAGAGCAGAGAAATACTCTCAGAAAGGAAGGTTTTAGAGAGACAGGATCCTGTATCAAACTGTTTCAGACAGTGAGAAAAGAGGTAATGCTGCAATGTTAATAATTAGAAAAGTAAAGTTTTTTTTTTGACCTTGGATACATGTAAGCTGTTCATAGAATACCCCCAAAACAAAATTAGGAAACCTTAAAATAGCATTATAGGGGCACTTTATACTCTTTACATTCAAATGTAATGTACCATTAAAACCGGCTCAAAATAAAAACTATTTTACCTAATTTGCATTCTGCTCTGCATGTATCACCATAAGTCAGACTTTTATATGTGTTGTGTTGCCTGTTGGATTTTATTAGTGCTTTGTCTTTGCAGCCGTGCCACTGCTGTCATGGTAACGGCAAAGTGAGGTGTACACACTGTCGTGGAATAGGACTGGTACGTGGATCATGGATGTTTAATTATCATTATCACATATCTGCCAAAGCTTCATTAAACTGACTGTTTTCTGAATAACAAATTCAGACTCGCTGTATGTTCTGTCACGGCACTGGTCACAGTCGCAACCGACGCTGCACAACCTGCCACGGAAGGGGAAAGAAAAGGTCAACAGATACACATTCATACTCTAATGTGTTTTATATCCTCATGTAAAAATAAAAACAAATATCTCAATCCCTTCTTTCAGGTGTGTGGCTTGTCATGGAACGGGTGACAAAGGCTGTCTCACGTGTAACGGCTACAGAAACCTTGTGCATTTCATACAGCTCACTGTTACATGGTAAAAAAAAAAAGTGTTTTGTGCGTTTTGAAAGTGTGATGCAAGCTACAGTACATGTGAAATGTTGCACAATCTGTGGTAAACACATTCGAATGTTTCTAGTTTTTATAATCTCAGTTCCTGTTTTAGTTCCTGTTTTGTTTTACACAATAATCTAGCTTGTTCATTTTATTTCATGTGGTTATCTGCGTCTAACTTCACACTGTTTCACAGGAAGAACCAGGTATTTGAGTTTATACCTGACCGGGTGCCTGAATTGCCGCTGAAGAAGTTTGAGAAGGTGTCTGGGGAGGCATTCTTCGTAGATGAAAGCCTCCTGGTATATATCGATTAATTTATCGTTCATTCTGATGCAGATATTTCAACACTTATTCAGATATTTAACCTTCGTGTTCTCAGACCTCGAGGCTCATTTTACCTAATCAAGTTCATGACTTTCTGTAATGTTTTGAGACTTTCTGTGATGTTATATTACGCTTCGACCGGCCTCCGTGAGACCATTAACTTGCGTTTACATGTAAAACATTAATTAATTAAATTAATTTTCACATGATGAGGTTATCCGACGAGTATATACGTTTCTATCGTTTTTGTCTGAGATTAAATTGTCTACCCTCATATTGCGGTGGTAAATCCGATAGCTTCAGTAATACTGTATGCAAACGCTAATGCCCGTGATAGCGCCCCTGTAGGTGATGCTGGGATTGCAACACAAATGTGTTGGAATGGAGCATGTGCAATCAAGTTTGTGTTGCTTCAAGTATTTGTGCTTACATATTTTCAAGTATCTTTTATTAGATCAGGTGATCTAATTAAAATAATTTTCAAGCAAAATAAGATGTAAAATAATTCAGAGCAGAGTAGACCAATTACAGGCTGAGCCATCTTTTCAAACTTATTTGTTCTTACATATTTCTAAATACCTTTGATCAGGTCAGACCGTCAGAGGATCTTATTAAACCATTTTCAAGCAAAATAAAGATGTAATATAATTAGGCTATCATTTGGCTATTTGAATATGGACATGAGGGTTAAAGTTGTAAAATAGAACAACATAGAATGCTGCTAAATGTGCTCACATCCTGTCTAATCATGTTTGATTAATATATGAACATAACTGCGTTTTAAAAACATATATCATGCACTAGCACGTGCACAGATGTGTATAGTATAATATATAAAGCGCAATGCATGTTTGCAGGTTTATCCGATAGAGGGCTTCCCTGACCAGGACATCTGTGACGCCTCAAAAACAGCCAACCAGAACCACCTGCTAAAATATTCCGCTGTGAGTCGCATCCTGCAGCAGGTGAGCAGAATCCTGATGAAATATAGTATTATCAATGAACGTAATAATCAAAAATATTCAAATAATAGGCTAAAAATCGCGTGTCTGGTGAACAGCGCAGGTCTTTATAAGAGAATGCAACTACAAACATGACCTCTAGGTGGCAGCACTGCCTTGAACAACTAATCACTTATAACGCATATGTAGGCCTATTAAACTGAGCTCAACCTTTAATTGTTTTCCATATTTATAAGTGAAAATATTAGCAAGTTAATATCTCAGATGTTTCAAATGTAATATTCTTTGTAAAGTAACATTCCCTGGCTCTCTCTCTCTGTCTCTTGCAGCGTCAGTCGATCGAGCTGGTTCCTCTCACTCATGTATATTACGCCTACAGTGGGAAAGACTACAATTACTTTGTTTTTGGGAGAGAAAACAAGGTTCACATTACAAAATACCCCACTTCCTGCAGCATTTTGTAGTAACTCTCTTTGCTTTGTGTCTTGTCCAAAATCATTTTACAATAGTTTTTCATAACATGTAAATTGCACTATACAGTAGGCCTATAACTATTTATATTTTAATATATTTATTAACTGAGAAAAAAATATTAAATTCTTAGTGGACTAATGAAGGTATATATATATATATCTTCGTTCATATACGCATATTACAGCATGTTTAAAAAATGTGCTTCATATACAGTATATATATATATATATATATATACATAATTAAAATTATTTTTGAGTACAATTATTGTGACTTTATTTTTTATATTTTCTTTAAAAAAAGTGATATTTTGTCATATAATTTGATAGTGCTTATGCCTTTATATTTCTCAGATTATGTTTATTTCTGAAAGTCAGTTCCTGTATAGAGGGATTTTGGTATGGAAAAAAAATATTATATATTTCCCAGGAAAAATATACAGTTCCATTTACACATTCTTCCTAACTCATACTACATAAAATAAAATAATATTATATATATATTCGTAAATCTTAATATATATATATATATATATATATATATATTAAGATTTACGAATTTCAATTGTGTAGTAAAATTCCATCCAATTTAATTGAATAACCCTACTATTCAATTTATGAAATAAGAATTTTAAATGAGAGAAAAGTAGAGCTTAATAAAATATTTTGTATAAATCATAATGGAACAAGAGAATGGACCAATTATTTGATTGGCATTCATAAATTTAAACATAGTTTATTTATTTAATTTATGAATGTGAGTCACAAACTAATTTCCTTGTTCCATTAATATTGAAAATATTGAATCAATATTCCATTAATTCCAAAAATATTTACTACTATGCTCTACTTTTTTTACTCATTTAAATTTCTTAATTCATAATATGTAAGGATTATTCAATATTCAACACTTTTTTTAAAAGAGGCGTCTGGTTTCACAAAGGCAGCTAGGTTTAGGCATCAGTTCAAGGACATTAGTAGCTTTTATAAACGTGCCTTAGGAAAAAAAAAAAAAAAAAAAAAACATTACTGTTGTGCATCCTGGGACAAAACAATGACCCTGACATATTTCGAGATCTGTCAGTGCAAGTTTCTTTCAGTTAAAACAGCTCAAACTTGCATTTTAGCCTAAGAGACGTCATCCTTGTCTGTGAAACAGGTTTATTTTTTATTTGTGTGTGTGTGTGTGTGTAGGCCTATGTGTGTGCGTGTGTAAATGGAGTAAGTTGTCACCGTGGACACCTCTGTTAGAGAACACACACTTATTGTGTTATCGAGCTTACATTTTATAGACTAGGATATGTGACAACTAACCCCGGTGCTTCCATATTACATTATAGGACACTTAATGTCCCCATCAAACGGAGACTACTGTCCTTCGGAAGTTGCACTGATCTGTTGTTGACGGACATACACACACACACCTGCACTCATGTGGCGCGTGATCAGCACACTGGACGGATATGACAGGTTTGGAGAGGATCGCGTGCAGGAGGAGGAGGAGTGTCTCGTGCGCTCCGGGCGCGCGCTGTTGCTCGCTTGTTAAATAGTGAAGGAGGTGCGGACAGCACGCGCGAGCATCTTCACAAGACTCACATCACTGACATTACAGCAGAAAAGTGGAATAAAAGCGTCAAGAACGAGGGGAGATAACACCCGGTAGGTTTTGAAATGTTGTTTTTGGCTATTTCGACTACCATGGTGTAAGTTGATAATATGATACTTTAATGAATTATCAGTTTACAATAGGCTACTCATATTATTTACATACTTTTTTGGAGTTCTTCAAATTATACCATGTTTTACTACGATACTTTTGGTAAACTTTTTACTTATACTTAAACTTATACTTTTTGTATATTTGGCACTTTTTTAAGTGAAGGCTTCAAGTTTGATATTTGTTTGTTGACATAATATGAGTAAAAATTGGGATTTTACAGAGTCTGGTTTGTTTGTATATACACACAGTATTTATGTTTTACCTCAGTGTTTCTGAGATCCCAAACTGAAGTATTTGTTGAACTGAAGATGTAACATGATTAATGGAGAACTTTTGAAACGTTTATTAAAGGGACAGTGCACCCAAAATATTAATTCTGTCATTATTTACTCACCAGACATTCTTCAGCAGAAATTACTGCAAGCTTGGAACAACTCGAGGGTGAGTAAATGATGACAGAAATTTCATTTATAGGGCAATATATTAAGGGCAATAAACTTGGATGTTTAAGTAATTTCAACTTAAATTACATTATACTGACTTAAAAAAAATGAGTTGAATCTTGTATTACTTAAACGTTTAAAAATGCTTGACTTATTTTGACGAGTTAAAGCAATGTGAAAACTATCCCATTAACAAAAATGTTAAAAAAAAATATCGTAAAACTGGAAAAAAGAAGTGTCAACCTGCAAAAAAATATGTTCAGGATTTGTAATCACATTTTCTCTTTTGTCAAATCAACTTAAATAATTTATGTAGTTCATATAACATAATATTTTGAGTGTCTGATGATTAAATCAATCTCCATCATTGTATTAACTCAATTTTTCCATTTCAATTAACTTAACATTTTAAGGCAACCAGGTTACTTCATTTTTTAAGTTAAACCAACAACATTTTTTTACAGTGCATTATTGCTGTGTCTGAGTTGATCAAACTTCAGCGCTTGAGGCTTAATCATTTTAATATATTAAATATATTAATATATGTGTATATATATATATATATATATATATATATATATATATACAGTATATTAATATATCTATATATATATATATATATATATATACCTCAAAACAATTCTGATATCAAATACCCTGTTTTTACAGTACAGTGTAGCTCTTGTGGACAGGATGTGCATTGAATGAATTTAAAGGTTTGGACGTCAGTGATGTTCATTGTCCCCTGATTCTTTCCTTTTCCTGTTTGCTGTATGGTGTGTATATTGTACTACTCTGATTTGTTTGTTTCCGTCCTTGTAAATTTCTTCCCAAAGTAATATCCTAAAATGATCTCGAATCATCGTGATTCATTTGTTAAAAAATATTTATTGACATGGAGGTGTGTTTTAAATATAAAACTTCACATTTACATAATAATGAAATAAAAAATGAAAAAAATATTTTATTACGAGGAGAAAAAAAACTGAGCAATAAATGGACGAGCAATCAGAAAGCTGTGAATTCCAGCAAGTGACGGTCATACAAGTTTTGTGAAGTCGCCGGATCCTTTGATTTAAAGACGGGTGGGTTTCAGTATTGGGATCTGTTGTGATTGTCTTGTTTCGCACCCACTCTGAGCACTTGAAAGGGAGAGGAGAAGCTGACGAATTGACTGTGATGTGAGTCCTCACGTAGAGCCGCATGAGGAAAGCCAGGCGGTGACTGCGAGACCCTTATCTGTGCAGGCCAGCACTGCTGCCTCGCGGGACACGGCTATTGTTGTTTTATCTGGAGTGAGCTTTGTTCTGCTGGTAACAATAGCTCAGCTCCCTGTGACTGCAGTCTACATTATGAGTGTTCAGTCAGTGCACTTGAAGTGACTTTCAGCACACACTGTTGCTTTGTTTCTCGCCGTGCTTTGATTTACCAGTCAAAATAAACACTCTAAAAAATGCTGGGTTGTTTTAACCCAGTTTTGGGTAAAATATGGACAAACCATATTGGGTTGGGTTTGTCCATATTTGACCCAAAATTGTGTTAAAACAACCCACCATTTTTTTTTAGAGTATCGCTATATTTTACACATTATTTTGTATTTTTTAGCATTCAAAAATGTGACATTGATGCTTTTTCAACAGTATTGAAGTAATTTATTATTAATTTTAAATGATTAATTTCCAAAATAGAATATCTCTAAAATAGATTTTTAATTATATTAAGAGATTTTTGAAGATGATTTTAATTTAACTAATGATAGATACTTATATTTTTAAATGTTAACAATATATGTGCTATTATTGTAAAGTATTTTTATTTATTTTAATATACCTAACCTTTATTTTATTTATTAAATTTGATTACATTTCTTTATAATATACAATTATTTTATTAATACATTTATTTTTATTTTATTTAAACAAAAATTGTTTTGTTTTTACAAATTTTATGTAAATGTTTAAATATTTTCAGTTGATATTCATTTTTTTTTATTTAAAGCTGCAGTCCGCAGATTTTCCTCTTTGTCGCCATTTCTGTTCGAAATCTGCAATTGCAGTCATTCGTGGATTTATCAACTTTACGCGAGTTGTACTTCGACACCCTCGGCACAGCGTGGATGAACACAATGTTTGAGGAGAGTGTGAGGCTGTGTGGATACTGGCATTCAGAATCACAGATTATTATTTTTGGAAATATGACCAACATAATAATTTTCACCGGAAAATGTAATCGTAACAATTAACAAACTGATTCTGACATTGCAGTAAATCGCGCAGATTAAATCCAACAATCGCTTATAAGTTAGTTATCATATCAAAAACCCAAAAAAGCTCCGGACTGCAGCTTTAAATAACAATATGTTTTCTTATGCAAATTTAGTGCTATTATTTATTTTACTAAACTATTTTATTAATAATAACTTTATATTTATAACATAATTTAACAACATATATTTGTTTTAGTTTTACAAATTGATCAATGTTTTTTAATTTTGTATCAATTTATCAAAATAATATTTTAATGATTTTTTTTTTTTTAAATTTAGGAATATGCTTTGTTTGGGGTTTTTTTTTACAAATTGGGTGCAATTACTTAATCTAATAAAATATTTTTATAATTATAATATTATTATTATTATTATATTGTTATGAATTCAATAAGTGAGCTTCGGTTTGACCTGAAATATTCCTTTAATTATTTTATTTTTTTTATTCTTAATGTGTGTTTTGGGAAGTTAATAATGCCTGTAATTGGTTTTATGATTAAGGTTTTTGAGTTGGTTAAACGTTTAGATCTCGTGCCCAGAGGACTTGTGGTTTTTTTGATAGAAAAATCTTCCACTGTGGTTTGTGGTTAACTTGGCAAAAAAAACTGTAAAGGAATCAAAGTGTTTGGGGATTCTGGTTTGTGTGATACCCATCTGACCAAATGAAGTTTGTGTTAATGATATCAGATGACATTTTATAGAGTTTAAGGAGAAGTCATTCACCTTTTTATCCTGTGTGATGAATCATTTCACTTTTTGGCTCTGAGAAATCTGATATTGTCCTTTGTACTTGCTATGCATATCTACAGTTTTTTGGGAATGTCCCAATCTTAG